CCATACAAAATGTACGAGTATTGCTTTATTAAATGCAAACTTATGCGAAAATCTAAATATTTCGCAAACATGGGGTTAATGGTTTCGCGCACGTGCCAATCTGGTGCCGATTCGCAGAAATTGAATAATTTGTGTGTTGATGGGAGCGGCGAGGGGAAGACGAAAGCCGACCAATCGTACATTTGTATGTACATATATATGTTACATACATACATTACATACCTACATATTTACAAAGGCATGTGTATATATGTACGTACAAATTTATGCGTTTGGCTTTTTGCATGAATAGAAAATTTGATTGCAGAAATAATTTTAATGAAATTAATTTTACAAACACATTTGTACTATATAATATTAAGTGTATTAGTTAATATCGGTATTTTGATAACAAGCCATAATTTGTTAGACACACATACGTACATACACGGGCAATCAAAAGTGATTGCATGGTTCTTTTTTGTATAATACTTACAATGTTTTTCAAGTAAACATTTTTTTGTTATTTTTTTAAAAAAATATGGTTCATGCTTTAATCGAAACCACATAAGTCAAACCTTCCCTCCTTTTGTATCAATTTTGGCGCAATTTTTACCATTTAGATTAGAAAAGTATAATTTACATACATACCTATAGGTTTTAACATATTTTCTGCATAATACTGTCTGCACAATACTGTTGACAACATTTTTCCTGCACACCACTCTGTAAAGTCAATTTGAAATGTTAAATAACCGCGGTGAAAACCCATCGTTGAAACGTTTCAGACTTTCGTTTTTACGATACAAAAATTTGCATCTTCTCATAACTATACGTTCTCTGGCCAAACCAGGTGGAATTGGGCCAAAAGTGCCTCTATGAATGAAAGTGCCAAAAATGGGACTATTGTGCCTACTTTTCCATCACTGCTACATAGTATGTAGCGAAAAATATTTGTATGTCTTCCCCCTCATGCATAGCTGCAATACATTTCGTGTGCAACTGTAAATTTAAAACGACTATACAGTGCAGTCAGTTTTGGTTTGGAACACAACTTAGCACAGTTTGAAGGCAGCTGCAATTATTAACAATAAATTTCCAGTTCTCGTGGCTTCCGTCAGCAAATACATTTCCTCAGTCTTACTTAAGCATCCGTGCCGTTTTGTTGTGGTTTTGTGCTGTTTTATTTAGAAGTTTTAAATTGCGAATTTGATGATTGGTAGAATTAATTAGCGAGCAAAAATTAATAAATAAATTTGGTAATTGTGTAGTGTGTGTAAGATAAATATGTGTGTTTATCAAAAATGACAAGTAATAAAAGTTAAGCTATAAGCTGTAAAGCATAGCATGTGTTTAAAATGAAATGCGTGGCAATTGTTTTTTTAAGATGGTCGCCCACCATAGTGAAAGAAATGCAAGTAGCGTAGAGCATGAACGGCCATTTTTTACGAATGTTGGTGGCTGCCGCAATATGGCGATTGACAGGGCGAGTTAGGTACATATATGATTATTTAATGGTTCTTTAAGCTTAGTCAGCTCCCTAAAATATTTTTCATTCTTTCTATCGTGTGAAATAATAGAGGCTATTTAAAAAAAAAAAAAACTTTAGAAAAGTGTATGAGGTATAAAATGTTCGAAATTTCATGAGAGCTGAACACGCCAAACGCCGCTTAAGAACTTTGATTTCATTTGAAGCAATTTTTCTTGCTGAATGAATTCAAAAGAGAATTCAAACAGAACGAGTCCATAAATCCGATTTCTTTTTTTTTGTGGGGTTTTGGGTAGGTTGGCCGGTTTATATAAAACCACCGCCAGGTTATTCCTTTGCTTTCAAAGTATATATCTTAGTACGTTGTCTTCCAAATGTTGTATTCAATCGTCGCTCCACTGATACCCGATGGTAGTACCGCTAAGGGCCAGAACCACGTGCAAAAGTTTCTGCTTATATATGTATCAAACGTCTTATTACTTTCAATTATTTATCAATTATAACAAATTAAAAAGTGTACTGTGATTTAATGGTCCACAAGTAACCAGGCTATTCCTCCAATTGTTGGGTATGTCACTATCATTGCTATGAAAGGTTTCAGAAAGAAAATTTGGAATAGGGTTGCCATCTATCAAAATCAAAATAAAATTGGGTTGATAAAAAGAGCATTTTAAATCCTCGGGATTGCCCTGTCAATGAATGTTTAAGAATACTTCTAGACTAAAATATTTTGATTGGGGTTGCCACATAAAAAATAGCTAATAAAGATAAAGATAAAGATAAAAACAGCGACAAAGATAAAAGTAAGGTAAAGGTAAGGATAATGATAAAGAAAAGAATTGAGTTTGGGATTAAGACTTAGATGATTTTTCAAATAATAATGAGTTAACTAAGCAGTTTTTATAACAAGTAACTTTTAAGCAAAAAATAAAACCGACTTAAATTCTTATATAAAAATGTAAGATTATCGTTAATTCTGATCTGATCTAAATAAAATTAGGTACCTTGAGGTACCACCGATGAAAAAATAATTATCGAAATCAGTTAACGTGGTCCAAAGTTATGCGGTAACATACATAAAATTAAATATTCCGACTGACTGATAACCTCTTCTTTTTTGAAGTCGGTCAAAATTGCTGAATAAAACTAAATCTCGTTAAAATTTCTTCCATTCTGGAATTTTTTCTCTAAAGTTTCTGTTTTTTGCGCGTAAGGGCTCTCCGGTTTTATTTAAATTTTTTTTAACGAAATAGATTAATGCCGTCCATATATTGGCTATTATAGTTAATATAACTAAAACTGAAACGCTAAGTTAAAATATGTTTATTTTTTAAGATAGAAATCAAACTTCAAATTTTTATTTCTAATAATTAATGTATTTATAATTTTAATTTTTATTGATGAACTATATGAAACTAATGCGAATTATAGTAAGTATTTAGGTTTTTTTCTATTTATCGGACCCAATTTCGTTCGTTATTAAATATTTATTTTTGTGAGTATGACTATATCGTCACTAGACACGAATAAAGGCGAAAAAAGACGTTTATGAAAAATTTCGCGTGAACATAGATTTATACCTGGCCAAGGACTACAATCTCAGCATCATTCCCCAAAAACTTTTTGGGGAAATTACTACTTTTTTCGCGGTCAACTTTTGAGCTCGCGCCTTTATTTATGTCTAGTGACAATATGTCGTTATTTATGTATGCCTCTGAATTATTTTTGTGCGTTTTTGTTATACTTGTTTGTATATTTATTGTCATAAATCGATCTTAAACTATTAAGTATTTACAAGTTCTTAATATGAACTTTCTCAATGACATTCGGCATTTGAAACAATTGTGAATTTATCGAAACTGCTTACGCATCTACATACAAACATATGTACGTAAACGGTTTCCCTGCAAACCATTTTTTCAGAGTATTCTGCATTGTAAAGAAATTTTAAAGAATTCGTTAAGATTTAATTCGATTTTTTGCCGAATTTTCTAAAATGAAATAAATTACGCACACTTCCATTCTTTTACGAAATTTCGGAAGAAAATCTGTGAAGCAACGAAACTAATGCTGCTATGTAAAGAATATCTTTCAGAATTTTTCCAGAATTTTCTTTATTTTTCGTACAGCAATTTCTTTACGAGTTCGTGTCAACCACTTCATATAATTTTCTTTGAAAATTCGTAAAAAAATCGTTACAGAAATGAGATACTCCTAACGATTTCCTTAAGATTTCGGGAACTTTGGTTTGCAGGGTTATTAGCTCTTCGGTAAATATTTAAATATTTTATTTAGTCAATATGTTTTTATGTAAAAATTTTGTTGGCTATTGCTACATATATTTGTTAAAACTGTAAAGCAAATTTTAATGAAGGTTAAATTTGAACTGCAGTTTTAGTTATAGTACTACTTATACGAATTTATATGCATTTTAACATCTAATTCCTTTCGCGAATACAATCAATTTGCTTGTCTTTTTAATAATTTTATTTTCTAATATTTTTTTATTTAAAAATCTCTTATGACTAAATACATATATAATGAAACAGTAAATTTTTTTGGCTAGTCGTTTTAACTTTTTTAAAGCTAAATTTTTCTTTTCTTTGCTATTCAAAGCACTACATGCATACAGTTACATACATACATACGTAACTATGTACATATATACATATATACATAGCCATACGTATGCACGTGTAAGGTAAATGCTGGTATTTTGAAATGAAAAACAACAAATTATCAGGGATTTACGAAATTTCCAGCATTTGAGTATTACAAACTAGTTCGCTATTTTTTAATTTTAGTTTAATTTTTCTTTTGTGATAACATCAATATCTAACAGTACATATTCTAAATCTATACATCTGCTTGACTTTATTTTTGCTGGCAATTCTATTATTCTCTGCTACATATTTCATATGCTGCGCGTTCTTGGTTTTTCGAAATTAAATTATTTTTCAAAATAATTTTATTTTGATTATTTTGTTTATTAAAATTAAAATTTTTTAAATTAACTTTATCGCTCAATAACTTTTACAAGTATTTTTTTTTAGAAAAAACGTATTATTTTTTATATTTACATATCTTATTGAATACTTTGTAATTCCTTTGCCTACGCAAACTGGCACACATTCTTGTACATTGGTATATTTTTCCTTTTTGGCTTCAAAAAATCATATTTCCTTCATAAATACATACATACATATATGTAAATAAATTCGGTGTACTTGTACTTTGAAAGCACAAATATTTAGACACAGGCAGAAGCAGTTGTTAGCCATGTAAAGTTCACAGCGTGACATTATTACATTGCCAATAGGCGCACGCATGCACACAAACACACATCGTAACACTTAAACGCGCCAAAGCGCCTCGCATTATGCAGCCAATGTTCAACGTTGTGTGGTGTGTCCTTGTTTGGGCTTCGGTTTTATACGGGGAGGGGTAGGCAGGGTTCGTCTTCATTCTTTCGTTTCATTTCCATTCGCACCGAGTTCGAGGAGCTCATGGGGTTCGGCATTCAACTGTAGCCGAAAACAGTAAAATATACATTTTAATAAGAATATTTCGCATTTATTATGAATTCATTAGTAATGAAATAGTTCAAACTCACCCTATCGACACTTCGCAAATCGTTTCTCGACAGATGATTGACCAATATAGTGCCTAGTGCGTCACACATAACATTGATGGTGGTACGGAAGCGATCTCTGTCGGGGGAAAAAATTAATAGCAGATAAATATCAGGCAAGGTTTTATTAGTACTAAGTAGGTAGGTGCTGCGACAAAATGCAGCTTTCGCTTCCGAGTAACCCGTTTTAAATAACATAAAAACAAACATGCACATCATCCATAGCAAACATTTCACTTACAGCAACCAATCGACAGCTATGATCAGTGAGACATCTTTCGGTTCCAATCCCACTGTATCCAACACCATCACCATAGTTACGAGACCCGCCTGTGGTATACCAGCTGCACCTATCGACGCAGCTGTAGCCGTAATACTGACCGCCACAATATTACCAAACGAATAGCTCATCTCACGATATTGGGCAATAAAAAGCGCTGCCACCGCCTCATACAATGCTGTGCCGTCCATGTTGATTGTTGCGCCGACAGGAATGACAAAACGTGTTACACGCGGATCAATGCCCATACCATCGAGACATTTAATTGTCAATGGCATGGTAGCCGAACTAGAGCCGGTACCAAAGGCAGTGGCTAAGACTTGACTCAATTTGGCAATGTAACGATATGGCAACGTACCAGTGGCCAAGAAGAATATCACAGCAATGGTACCTGTAAGGAGTAAACAAAATATGTACATAAATATGAGATGAAAATGCAGAAAGTTTTTTTTTTTGAACTTACCAAATCCATGCAGGAAGAGACCCAGCATTACCGTTATAAAGTACCAACCCAAAGATTGTATAGTTGCAGCAATGGAGTCCATTTCAATTATTTTGGCAGCTATCAAGAAACCCACACCGAGCGGCGAGATCCTATTGAATATGGCAAAGTGAAATTATAGTAAATACGTAGCTTACTTAAAAATATGTTACTAAACATTTTTCGTGGTTTACTTTTTTCGAAAACATACCAAATAACCCAAGACGTTATTGTCATCATCGCTTCACTAAGTGAGGTAAAGAAATCTTGTAACAGTTGACCTTTCTCACGCATGCGCCCAATGGTTGTGCCCAAAATGACGCTAAACATTACCAAGCCAAGTACATTTGAGCCTTCGCGTTGTGCTGACTTGAAGTCCCACTCTTCCATGGGTACTGTTTGGGAAAAAATAATAGTTGTGGAATGAGTAAAATGTATAGAGTAAAATATTATGAATGCATAGCTGATGACTTACCCGGTGGACTTATACTCGTGTTTTCGAAGATTTCCGTGCGATACTAGAATAGAAGAAAGCGAATATGAATGTGTAAGAGAACATGTGAATACGAAAATCCTGGAACTAAATTTCCATTTTAAAAGAAGGTACTATCGTACCTACAACTTATGACCTATATTAAGAAAAGTACGGGTATGTATGGGATGCGCACCTTTGACAGGAATTATAAGTGATATGTTAATTTTTTTTTTTCAGACAATTGATACTACAGGCTATCGAAAACTTAGTCATGGTGCGATACTCAGTTGAACAACGCGTAAAAGTTGCGATGATGCGCATTTTCACATAAACGGATTCGTTAACAAGCAAAACTGCACCTACTACAAGAAAAAACTATGCACCCACGACGAATGACTGCTTGGTGTGGTCTTTGAGCTGGCGGAGTCATCTAAAAAAGATCGAACTTAACCTCTTTTGGTCACCTTGTTTCGGAGACTTAGTGAAATATTGCTGATAAATGAAAATCTATGTAAGCACGTTTAATTCGGATCGGTAGCGTGTGAGAATCTATTTTCGGAGATCTGACTTGGTCTTACACTTATATTTATATATATAGACTAGCAAATATCTGGCGTGATTCACTGCGTCGTACAAATATTTTTGTGTTTTTTGATACCCATATTGTAATATTTCGTTTATTTTATCAATTTAATAAACCTATTCAGTTTGATACCCGTATTGCAATATTCAATTTATCTTATCAATTAAATTAAATAAAAACAGGTAGCAACCTACCACAAAAATATTTTAGGCTCTAAGCCTTTTTAAACTTCTTTCTTTGGAGAGAAATATGATCACTCCCTACAGGAGGATTGGTTTAACGACTGCTATAAATATCCATCGACAAATCCGGGAACTGAGGCTTCATCTCTTGCCTATGGCCCTTTTACAAGTATAGAGGGCTACGGAAGCCTTCTCATAACGCTGAAACATATTCTCCTTCAGTTCAGCTTCTTATCTAAAATAATGGCTAGAAATTTGGCTCCACCATGCTTTAGCTGACGCTTAGGCCACTGCGAGTTGCCCACTTGGATACATCCCGAACGTTCCCCTCGATGCGTTAGCAATGTCATCGGCGTATGCAACGACGGAGGAGTGGAAAGAAGATTTCAATACGCCAGCCGGTAGTATTGACATCTACATTGGTGGCGAGGGCTGCCAGACGTCCCGGTTTTCTCGGACATGTCCCGGTTTTAGACTATTCGTCCCGGTGTCCCGGTTCAACCTTAAAATGTCCCGGGTTTCGTTTTAGTGTCACGGTTTTTGATTTGATTGCACAAATTTGAATAAAAGTTCAAAAATCACTACACTAAGAGAAAAAACTCGTTGTAATATTCAGAAAAATGTTATGAATTCATTGAGAGAAATAACGCATAGTAAACATGAATATTTTCTATTTGATTATCGTTTAAAAATGTTCGTATTTAAAAATAATACTTTCATAACACGCACGCGTGGTGTTGATTCAAACTCAACATTTAAGTGCACTTTTACATGTCTGGCTGTAGCTGAGTGAGCGAGGATGCGTGCCACAATTTGCTAATTTCCAGAGGGTCAGGGTTCAATTCCCATTACAACCAGCATGGAATTTAAATATTTGTTTAGATTAATTATGAAAAAGCAATCGGTAATTGCAAATCCCTTCATTTTAATATGGGCCTATTTAAATTGAATATTTCTATACTAAATACTAAAATTTGTATACTTATTCATATGCGTATTACTATTTCATATGCATATTTTTATAATTTAGCACGTTTTTTTAATTCTAAACTTCTTTCTCTCAGTGCACCGGTTTAATTTGTGAAATAGTTACATTTCGAGATAGTTGAACTTTGCACAAGCAATCGTTGATGATTAGTAGATGAACCTAAATACATTCAAAATGACGTGCACAGAATTATACAATTATATTAAGGAAAAGACCGAAGTTTTGAAACAAGTTCACAGCAACGAAAAATATGACTGATATTTTAATGCTATCTTGTACTTAAATTTGTTTCTTTCATGAAACCTAGAGTACTTATAAGTACAGTGCCGTACAAAATTATTGGCTCAGAGGCTTTTTCATCAGATCACAACTTCTAATCAGATCTTTTAGAAAAATTTTGAAAATATAGCTTTTGAGCCAATTAATAAAGTGCAAGTCCGAAGTTGCCAGCAAATTTCGTTGATTTTTAGCATTTATATTTTTTGCTGACAGTGTCTTCCATATACAAAGAATTATCGAACATAGTTTGTATGGAAGAAACTCTCAGTAAACACAACTAAAATTTAATGGGCTGCAAAACTTCATTTTAAATTTCATTTTTATAAAAAGTCTGATTAGAATGTTGCAAATTTGTTGAAATTTCCCGAGTTTAGCACAAAGTTTAACAATTTTATTTTCATGTTTTTTTCATATATTTAGTATAAACTGTATTTGTATAAAGAATAAAAAAAAGGTTCATGCATTGTCAAAAATTCTCTGTGCTTTAGATGTAATAAGTTGTTTTGTTTTGTTGGCGTACGTTGTAATGATCTCATGATCTCATGTTTTAATTTTTTTGTTTTTGTCTGTCAAAATAAAATTTCAATACATCCTTTCGCACGTCGAAATGAAAGGGAAGGGAGCGAGAGGCCCTCCCTAAAGTGTCCCGGTTTGGCAACAGAGATATCTGGCAGCCCTATTGGTGGCCCGAAACTCAAGGGTAAGGTTGGAAAGGGCATTTTCCCACGAAAACCTCTTCCAGAAATTTTCATTTGGTTACCAGACTAGCGTATCCGAAGTGAAATTTCAGTTATCATGGAGGCTGCTGAGAGTCTTGGAACCGAAATGATGGGAAGGGACGTCTTCATTTTTAGTGATAGCCACGCTGCAATCAAAGCTCTGAGCTCTTTCTCGTTTTATTCAAAGATTGCGCTGGACTGCCGCCAATCTCTACAGGAGAAGGTCAAATAGAACAGACTCCAGACAAGGCAAGGCACGGACCAAGCAGATTCTTCCTGGTAAAGAACGCATTGGTATGCCTTTTGCCACTTCCAAGCTGATATTTAATGAGTATGTATACAAGCTGAAGAAAGATGGAGTCATAGTACGACTTGCCGAATTTCCAAGCAGACGTGGCCTAAATGAGATCGGATGCGGTCACGAACATGGTTGCCACAATTGGTAACTTTTTACCAAAATTGGTAACTTTTAAACGGTTTGGTAACTTGGTAACTTTTGTTTCATTTTGGTAACTTTTGCAACTAAATATCTATTTGCATTACTAGAAAGAAATGAATTATATTTTGCATGTGCGTAATTATAAAAAGCCTCGAGTTTCAATGGCAGCACTACTGACACTTCTACAAACTTACTTCGATAAAATTAGAGTCATCTCATATTCGAATACTGGAAATAGTGGCAGCACCAAGGGCTGCACTTCTAAAACAACTTTCGAATTTTTGCGATATACATATTTTGAATTCTACCATCTCACATTTTTTGAAATCGTTTTAATTATTCCGACACAAAAAAAATGTCGCGTGCTTTTTACTAGACCCACCTACCGACATGTATTTCGAATCCGAATCTGAGGTCCGTTTGACACGTACACTAAATTATGAAAAACCGAAAAAATTGCAAAAAAATGTTCGCAATTTACTCGAAATTTTGTACGAGTCAAATGGACGGTTAAAAGCACCCGGAACTTTTTTTTGTGTACCGGTGCCATTATTCCGTGAGTCGCAGGTCCAAAATAACGGCACATTCCGAACGAAAAATGACACTGAAAATGGCACAACGCCGAAAGCGGTTTGTCTCCAAACCAAATTTGACAAGGGATGATGGAAAATCGTTCCACATTACCTACCCTATCGGATACACCAACAACGAAAATGAGAATAACGGCACATGCAGTAATTAATTGATAGCAAAATATTTCCTAATAAAAAAAAAAATATTATTATGATTGTCAATGGCATTTTCACTCTTGATAATTTATCAAGAAAATAGATTTAAACTTCTGTGCTTGAACTGGGAGTTCTTGATAAATAATCAAAAATTCACAAATTATATAAATATTGAATTTATTAAGTCACAGAAACTGGCTGTAAGTATACACACATTTGTTAAGAAATATAGCAGTTTTATTCAGTATATTTTTTTTTCAGTGAAGAAGTGAAGATTTTAGTAGTGAAGATTTGGTAACTTTTGGTAACTTTTCTTAAGAGATTCTGGTAGAAAAAAATGTTGGCGAGTGGCAACCATGGTCACGAAGGGTATACTCTCTTAGAAGAGAGGATATGTTTATCTAGCTTTGTGGGGGCTCTAGAAGAGGAGGAAACAGTTTTGTTGCCTCTCTTGTGTAAATGGCCTGCACTCTGTAGAAGCATACTGCGCCATCTGGGTTCACCGTATCTAGCCGACCTTAGGGAGCTTTCAAACACCGACGTAAGGTGCCTGAGAGATTCATCAGCGACACAAAGTGGTTCGACAGGGAGGATAATTAAACGGTGTCAAACTGTGGTAACACAAGTTATTTATGGCTTACCTAACTAACTACTCGTTTGCCAAGTTCTTGTTAAGATTTCTATAGCTCTGTGGCTCTAAAACGGAAATTGCTTTCGAGAGAGATTTCTAAATAAAACAAAATATCAAATGAAAATATAAAGCTGGACGAAGAAAAAACTTACTGCATTGAAATTTAAAAATAACAAGATTTAGTAGCAAAATCCGAAAACGTCGTCGCAAAAAAATTACTAAGCAGTCTGATTAGCAATTGGTTTAGCTTATAGTCTACAACTATATCCGTTTCGGAAACAACAATTGACATGAGATGAATTTAAACCACGACCCCTGTGTTCAAAGCTCTCCAAACGGCCCGTTAGCTATCATGCAGATTAAGTAATTCAATTTGTAATTTAATATGTTTGTATAGATAGACGAGTAGCGCAACAAGCAGCCACTAGTCACCAACTAGCGGCGCAGAGGGTGACATAAATGAGATTACAACACAAAGGTGCACATTAGTCACTACAAAGTGAATACGTACATGTAATAACATAGGAAAATTTGCATAAATAGGTGATCAAAAAGTGAAAAAAAAATTGAGTTGCCAAGTGTTGGAGCAAATGAACATGTACAGTGACGAGCAAAACTGTAACATGGTGTAACCCTTTCNGGTTTTATTATTGTTGTTGGATTGACTTTAAATCTTTATGAGAGAGGGAGTAGGGGTGTACCAATAAGAATATACAACAAAAGTATGAAAGTCGTTAGAAGTTGGAAAGATAGCGGTGGCTGAAATAAAAAGTGTTACACCATGTTACAGTTTTGCTCGCCACTGTACGTATTTGTATTTACATGTGTATTTATTTATAAGCTTACGCATGAACGAGGCACATATATTGATGATGCTGAGGCAGAGTTTACATATAATATTTGTATGTCACGAGCTAGTCAACTGTTAAAGTTCAAAAATTCTAATCAAAGAACCGAAAACTGATCATACAGAACCAAAAATCGGTCACAAAGCGCACATTGCAGTATGGGCAAAAAATTTATTGTTTTTGTATAAAATCTAAATATGAAGATATCCTCACCGATCATGGTTACTTCCGAGAATATCGTCATAGAATGAGCAGGATAGACTCACCGAAACGTCGAAGATAACGTACCCATACATTCTTCACCGGCGATCACTTCTTGTCTTCGCGCAGAATGTTGGAAGAAAGATACGGAGACATAACCCCGAACAACGTAATTGGGGTAATAATCTCCAGTGCAGACAAGTGGGAAGCAGTTGCGAGATACGTGATTCTTACTCCGCTGCAAACGAGAAGACGGATGTCTACAGAGGCAACCCGAATGAAACGCCCCTACAACAGAGCTGCCTTGAGGCTCCAGTAGCGCGCTCCTGCATCTGAACACATGCAGAGTTGCGGTGCCAGATGCGGGATTCTTGCGCGGGCGGTGGGAGTTTGGGTTTTAGTGGGTAGCCCAATACGCTGCGGTGGGAGTCCCACACTCGGCGAACTTAGTATAGAGACTAGCGCCCCCGACCATTGCATAAAGCATTTCCCTGTCCTATTTACAAAAAAAAATATGAAGATACATATCTGCCCTGAGTTTGTTCGTTTCGAGGCACTATATCATATAGCCGTCATATACCCGATCTGGCCGACTTACATCAAATTCGTTATTTTTGATGTCATCGACTTGAAATCCGGTTTGTTTACGTAGTACGAAGTTTTCAGTTGACCTACAAAATTTTTATGTTTTTTTTCTTCGTCATCTTTAACGCTTTCGAATCGCTGTCAGCTGCGATATTTTGTTTATTATCAGTGTCTTCGATACAGTGCCTGGTTCGTTCGAACGACCTCTCATTAAAATTACAGTTTTATGGCCTTATTCATAAAAATAAAGTAGCTTTAAGAAAGGTTTATAAACTGAAAAATTTATGAAGCTCTTTAAACGTACTTTATTTTTTATGAATAAGGCCATTAGTGTTTTTCAAATCGAATCGAAATGAATTATTCCAATCATGTGCTGGCCGATATTCACTTTTACTATGGTTTTGCACGAGATTCTATTCCAAGGGCCCAAGGAGTGTACGAAGAAGCGTTTCCTCACCGTCGCATACCGAGCACAAGAACTTTCGCTGCTGTTCACCGGCGATTATCTGATACCGGTACATTTAAACCATTTCGTGGCGATAGCGGTCGGTATTCCTTGTTCCAAATATTTGTCTGCTGAAACAGCTTTAAAAGCTTAGTGCACGTGGCTACGAAGTGGTCAAATGCGCTGTAAGCACGGGATGGAAAAGTGGTGGACTTACACCGAGCTTTTACTTTCTTTCCCGACCCTGCTTTTAGGAAATTACTAGCCCATTATTTAGTTATTAATCAATTCTTAAAATATTTATCTAAACTTTTGTAAAAATTTAAAAAAAATTTCAGTTAATAAATTTACTTAAATTATTATTTTTTGCCACTGAAAACAACCGTGCTAAATAAATTTCCATTATATTTAATTTACTTGGCAACTTTTTTTTTAATTTCTTTTTGGATGCAGAAGTGCTCCTAGAGCATCTAGATGTATTTCTGAAAATTAAAAAAAAAAAAATCGCCTACATTTTTTTGCGATAATGTCTCGATATGTACACTCTAAAAAGTGCATGTAAAACTACTCCTGAAAAGTGTTTATTTTTCAACCTGAATCTGTGCAAATATACGGACAAGATGTTCAAGATTTAATTTTGAACATGAGTTTTTTAGAATATACATAAAAATATACACATGAAATGTTTAAAATTACAAACATTTTGAAAGTAAAAATACGTTAAAAAAATAAATTAATATAAAGTGCTCATATTTACTCAATTTTAAACACTTTGTGTGTAATTTTTCACTACGTGGCAAATTAGGTACATATGTAAAAATAACCAGACAGTGTTTAATTTTGCACACATTAGAAGAGGAAAATGGTTACCTCTTTTTATACGCGTAAATTTAAACACAATTTTTTTAGAGGAAATTTTAAACATTTTATGTGTAAACTGTGAAATTGTGAACAATACATGTTTAAACCTCAAATAACAAATTTGAAATTCGTTCTACGCCACACATATGATCAGTAAAAGTAAACCAGCAGTGTTTAATTTAATAAACATGGTGTGTAAATTTGCATTCATAAAGGAAACTGGTTACCTATCTTAATATGCGCAAATTTAAACCAACATTTTTTAGAATGTAAATAATTAAATAAAACAACTTTTTTTATTGTGAGCGGGAGCGAAATAAAATACCAAAATATTCTAGCACAAAAGTCTTAGAAAATAAGGTCTCTCCCTCACCACTTGTGGTGAAAAGCCATTTTGGGAGAAACAACTTGTATATCATTTAGCTTACGACGCTGCAACAGTTGCAATGTTCAAAAGAGCAAAGCAAAGTCCAAGGGCACTTTTCCAAATTTAATTTTATTTTAATGTTTATGATTTTTTATTTAGAAAGAAAAATGTATTTCTTTTATTTCATTTAATTTCTAGGAACTTATTTTTTTCTTCTAATATTTTTTATTTTTGTTTAATTTTCTTTAAATTTTTAGATTTTGCTGTTTAAGAACGAAACATTTTATTTTAATTTTATTTACAGCCAATTTTACGAAACCAATTTAAGTGAAAAGTGATTTTAATTTTTTGAATGTTATATGGAATTTCCTCTGAAGACGGTTACCGCGGTGTAACCGAAATATATTGAACAAAAAAAAAAAATTAAAATCCTGTGTTTTAATTAAAAATTTTCTAAAACCATTTGACCTCGAGTCGGCACAATTAACAAATTATGTTATATGGAAATTGACAGAAAATAAAAAATCATTTTCCATTTAAATTGCTGGTGAAACCGACTGTTAGTTTTTAGAACTTTATTGTGTTTATTTCTTCATTTCTGTTTAATTTGTTTTTCTTTTTTAATTTTATTTTCTTTTAATTTGTATATTTTATTGCTGTAAAAGGCAAAATATATTTTTGCTTAATATCATTCAATTTTTAGGGAATTATTTTATTTCTTTTCTTTTTTAATTTTTTTTCTTTTTAAGTAAAATGAAAAGAAATTAGTTCTTAGATTTTATTGTTTAAAAAAAGAAAAGCATTTTATTTAGATTTCACTTAATTTTTATTCTTATTTATTATTCTCTTACGTTAATTTCATTTTATTTTAATTTTTATATTTTATCTACTATTTAAAAAATATATGTTTGTTTTATTTCATTTGATTTTTAGGATCTTATTATAGTTTTAATTTTATTTTTTTTTTAATTTACTTTTCTTTTAATTTTTAGGTTTTGTTTTAAAAATAAGAGTATTTTATTTATTTCATTTGATTTTTGAATATTACCTTCTTCTTTTTTGTTAAATTTTTTTTCTTTTACTAATTTAATTTTTAATTTAACTGTGGTAACAGTTGATAGACAGTTGCCAGAAATGCCCTGTTAGAGTGAAAAGTTGCTACGTCTATTTTTATAAATTTTCAAAAGATTTCGTATTACATTTTCCTCAGCGAATTTTCAGTGCAGTGCCTTAATCCTTTCGGAAACTACATAAGTGGACTTAACAACTTCGCGCTTTACACTGGCGATATAACAGTTGTCAGATTTACGAATAGTAGCCATACATCAGCAATGAGCACCTTCTAGACAAGCAAGTACTCGAGGGAGTTGGCGTTTTGTTTCATTTTTTTGCTGAGTACTTAATTCCAACTTAATTTACACATGTGCGTGTTGGATATTTTTTGCTTATAGATACTATTTCAATTCTTTCGTTTTTTTCTGACGTTCGTCCACTAGCTATCAACTATAGCTAAATTAAGCATTTGCTCGTCAATTGGATAATTTGTAAATAAATTGATAGTAGTGCAGATTTGCCATTCTCATGTGCAGTGGTTGTTTACTAAAGATTTATGGAATTAGACATGTACAAAACATACATACCTACATATGTATGTACTATGTATATCCAAAAATGGATAGGGATGTATTTGACAGATATGCTCCACATTTACATAAATAACTAATAGAGTACTATATGTATACAGTAGTAATATCATAAAGCAATTCCTAAATGACTAGTTTTTCCGCTAAATGCGATATTCAGGGATATATAGAGAAGTTTATCAGTGCTCTAAAGCTGGTGTTTTTTTTTTTTTTTAAATTCATTGAATTAATTTGCCATATAAACTTACCTGAAACATCGTTGATTGAATAATGTTATCCGTAAACATATTCCTAGTAAATATTGAAATTGTTTTTATTAGTCAATTTTATAATGCGAAATCTGTTATTGCTTAGCGCTCTCACACCTTACCTCACTAAATCCATAAGCGTATCAGGAGTTAGCACTTTAGATGCTTTATCCACAGATTCGGTGCGTATTTCCACTATTTTGGCACCCTGTCCGGGTCGTATTGTTGTGACTAGGCAAATACCCAAAACAACCGCCGAAATGGTTGTAACAAAATAATAAGCGTTAGCTCTGTAATTATATTGCTATATTATTGAATATACATACATACATACATAAGTAGAATATAATAAATAGTGGAAATCGATCCACTCCGATGATTGCCATTTTCACTCACCGTATGGCAATCCTCCCTGACATACTCAGATCGAGCCCACCAATGGCGCTCGTTATGGATGAAACCAACAATGGCACAATTAAACATTTTAGCATGCTGTAAATATATGGATAGAAGTCGAAATATATGTATGTAAATTGGATTTTAGAAAATTTTATCAAAATCTAATTTATATTAATTCATGTATGTATATACATATGTATGTACATTAGAGCGTACTAGAAAAAAAGTTCACCGTGTACCCTCCCGAGGCTAAAATATTTTTGCAAGGCAAAATCGAAAAAGAAAAAAATTTTTGGGCCAAAGGGGGTTTGGGTTTACAATCGGATCTGAAAGTATGAAGTATCGTTGTTTTTGTCTACAGAAAAAAATCTTTTGTTGTGTCACCGAAAATTGTAAAAAACTTACCCTTGGGTTCGACCATAAAGAAAAAAATTTCGCAATTAACTTGCAAACATACCATTCTTTACATACCTTCGGGTGTATGGCGAACATTTTTTTGTTTGTTTGCTTGTAAGTTGGTACGGTCTAATGCACATGGTTATTACTTTGACGCGCAAAATTTTAGTACTTCAAGAGCCTTATAACCCTTCAAATATATGTATGTTGTTTTTATCGCCCTAGTCTCTAACTAATAGTTATGAGTATCACAAACATGGTCTGCTTATCAAACACGCGCGCTCCTTGACTCGAGAGGTACTGCTGGATGAACTATTAACTTTATAAGTCATAATAATCCATTCAACCTGTTAAGTTTATAAACGTTATCTAGGAGACTGGAAAAATTGTTCTTAACTGACAATTTTTTCGGACAGCCATACAGCAATACGATGATCTCTAAGCTCTGAAATCGTTGCATCTAACCTAGTGAAGTGGAGCCTAATATACCTACTCGTCGCAGTGTTTACCCATTCTCTCTAACCTAGTAAAGTAGTGGAACTACTCACGAACTTACATATGTGTACTATCATTCCATCGCTACCCAGGTGTCGATGCTACAGCTATCATAATATCAAAATCACTTCAAACGGACCAACTCTGGATATCTGAATAGGTTCTTGACCCTCTGACGCAAAGTCATTTTAGGACATCCCAATGACCCCTTAGATTCGGCAGTCTGTGGGCGCTCCAGCAGGCCAGGCGGTGGAACTTAGCCAGAGTGCCGCTTGAGGTTGCTTGCTTGGATTTTGGCCCCCTAGCCAGTGCCGCATAAGTGATAATCGGTTTTATCAGTGTATTAAATGACCTATACGTTAGTTTCGGTGATATTCCCCAAGTTTTATCATGGAGCCTTTGACAAGCGTAAAATGCCCTCATGACTTTATTGGTAATCGGTGTGAGATGTTAGTTCCAGTTGAGTCTCTTATCTGGTATTACGACTAGATATTTCGCCTCTAGTGAGAACTCAATCTCTCCCCCATACAATTTGGGTTTCGTCAAGTTGGCCTCCCTTCCTTCATTGGGTTAATTGATTTTTAAACTTTTGTGAGAAGTGCAGATAGAGGGTATTGAATACAAGCCCTCGATATATGTATAAAGTTTACCCCATACGAATACAACTATTTCGGTGTTTGTAGCAGGGCTGCAAACCACTCCAAAAAACGATGCGGTTCGGTTCAGTGGTTCGAATCATTTAGAAAAAGCTTGTAGCGGTTCAAGAACCGGTTCATGAGTATTCCTGAACCGCGGTTCGGTTCGGTTCAAATGGATACATTTTTTTCAATGCTAAAGGATAAAAATATAACAAAATTATAACAAATGTAGTTGGGTATTCACAACGGTGTCGTAAGTGTCGTATTGTTGTGTGTCGTAAACTTTAAACGCATACAAAATATATTAAGGGAGTTCGCAAGGTACCATCAAAGTCATTATTATGAATTTTCGCAGTGCTAAAAATAGGTGGTTGTGGTTTCAGGTTTTCTAAACAATTATTTAAGCTTTTAAAGTTTACGACATACAACAATACGACACTTACGACACACATTGTGTTTTTGGAGTGGTTTTCGGTTCGGTTTTGGCATTTCAAAATAAAAATGGTTCGGTTCAAAGCCCAACAAAAAGCGACGGTTCGGTTAAAACCCGGTTTGCAGCCCTGGTTTATATATACGAATCGATGACGATGTTGCGGTAAAAATATCGTTCGACTCTGCACCCAAGCAAGAGCTCCTATGACTATGAAGTCCTTTTTTATAAGGGCAATTTAAAAATTATGAGCTTTGTTTTGAAGCCTAGAATGAAAAAAACGCACTAAGGATGAGAGTACAATTTTTTTTTATCTATCCTGTTGTATAACCCACAGATCCATAAAGAAATCAAAGAAACAAATTCGAACTAAAATATTTCATAAAACTGAAAAATTTTAGTTCTTTTATATGCTTCACTTACCGCAAAAAAAGTTCACCGGGAAAAGATATGTACATAATCTCACGCTTCGTCCACTCGCCTGTGCTGTTCTTAATGATGAAGCCAACTAAGCCGCCCAGGAACACGCCGGTCACTGTGAGCATAGTCAGCGAGTTCTCTCGCAGGAATGCTTTAAATTTTGAATCCTCTTTCGGTCGCGTCATTTTGTGTGTATGTGTGTGTTGTTGTTGGTGTTACTTATTTAACTATGAAGTGTTACAAACAAACAAAAGATTATTTGTAACGGGCAGCACCGAGTTTTTTGCTTATTTTTTATTTATTTTTTTTTTTGTTCACCGACTAGAAGCACCTTCCAAGCCGTGTGCAAGGATCAAAAGCACACACACATATACGCGCACACATGCAGACAAACACAAAATGTTATGAACACCTTTGATGTGCAGCTGCAATCTGCGGAGTAAAGGATACGGAAATTGAATTTTTGAGTAATTTTTTTTTTTTTTATAAATTTTTATTTTATTAGTGCACTTAATGTTAATTAAAAAATATTATATTTATGTATTAAGGTTTTATTATTTATTTTTTTCATTATAATTTAAATATTGTACGCTATTTAAAAGTATGCGGATTATCCTTTTTTTGACTTGGCCAAACATCACCGCCGCCACATCACACTCACACATTCAACACAAAGGAACATTGGCGTTCTGTTTGATAAAATTTTTCGTTTACTTCACCGAATGACTGACTGAACGCGACTATAATCATCGCACGCAGTAAATTTTCCACTTATTCAAAGTGGTCGTCGTTTGTCAGCGACTGGCTGGTTGGATAGTTAGCTAAGGCCATACATATCTACATACTCGTAGCTGCGACTGTAGATATCAACGATCCACTGTTACTTTTTTGTCGTCAATTAAACACATACACATACAGCAAAATGTTTATGGATGTATGTGTATAGATATGTGCGTCGGCAGCTTTTGGATAACTAATACGTTTAGGTGATCGCGTGCATCCAGCACCCAGATTTTGCACCCTCGATAAACATATGTATGTGTGTATTCAAACTAGGGATGTTTCGAATGTCATATTTTTGACATTCGTGAATGCGAATGTGCGAATGCGAATGCGAATGTTAAGAATAACATTAAAAAACCTATAATCAATTTAAGTCATCGTTTTCATTACTTAAAAATTTTGTAAATTATTAGAATATTGAACGAGTGCTTAACCTATACAGTGCTTAAACTAATATTCAAAGTTCAAAAGCTACATATTATATTAAAAAAAAAAAGTAATTTCGCTGCCTTTTCTCCCATGAGGCGATTTCTTAGAGGCTCGTATGTAAGGCCGCCTGCACTGAACAATTGCTCACTTGGAATGCTGGCGGGTGGAGCGCTCAAATATATGCGGGCCAGATCTGTCAATTTATCGTATTTTAGTTTAGTTTTCCACCAATTGAGAGGATATTCACCGAGATGAACTCGTTTTTCTTTAAGATAGGCCTTCAATTGAACTTTAATTTCACATTTTTGAATACCTCCAGATTCTACAGCCGAGCCTTCGCTTTCGCTGGAGGAATCTAAAATTATATCTAGGTTGCTTCTAAGACTTTTAGCAGTACTTGTTGAAGGCCTGAAACTAAAATCCGGTTATTGTCCGCACCCTGGTTAGAAAGACTCAGAGCCAATTCAACATGTACATTCGCATTCGCAATACATTCGTATCATTTAATGCGAATGCGAATGTGTAAAATAATGCGAATCATTCGCATATCGAATGCGAATGCAAATATTCGCAACATCCCTGATTCAAACATAGATCCATATATATGTACATACACACAGTACAATGGCCAATTCTATGTACTCTGCTTTCAAAGTAATCTCTTACAGCTTCAGAGCAAGCTTAATTGCGAATGCTTTAGGAATGTGTGTTCATCGTTTAAATAGAGACACGGGCAGGTGTCGATACGATGTACATACATACATAGTATATACATACATACATACATATTAAACTGTACCAAAAAAAAAGTCTAAATTACTTTGGCAAGGCAAGCTCGAAAATAATTTTTATTTTTTTTTTTGTGGACGAATCGTATTTTACCACATTTTTTCTCGTCATATTTTCGGCGTTTACAGTCGGATATATCGATTTTCCTGTCTTGAGGAGAGAGTTTTTTTGGTTCCAAAGTTTATTGGCCTCAAGCACCCAGATCTTTCTTCCTATAACCCTAACCTAACGTCAGTAAATAAAAGCTCACCAAGAATCATTAAACTATTTCTAAGGATGTACATATTTTGATTATGCCAGTATTTAAACAATGTATGTAGGTGTCACCGAAAAATGAAAAAAAGCTACCCATAGATTCGGCAAAAATATTTTTTTTTTTTAAAGTCCCTTGCAAAAATACTTTACACTCAGGGGTATACGGCGAACTTTTTTTGTTTGCCTCTAATGTGGTACGGTCTAATGTGCATACCAAAGTGGATACAAACAATTATTTGGGTATTGAAGCGATTGCACACATAGAATTCGCGACAATAGTCAACATTTTTTTCTTGTCGAAAGCATCATCCCCTAGCTTTTTATAAACCGGATGAGGATGACGGTTCAAACACATACAAAAATATCCGAGGCAAGCGAGCACGTTTCAGTGTATGTATGTATAAACATACATACTAGCTTTACGAGTAATATTTAGTTTTTTTTTTTTATAGAAAGTCAATGCTTACATATACATAAACATACAGACATATGAAAATCATAAATAATATTATTTGACATAAAGCAAGCAACGGGATGATTGGTTTCTGGTAGCGCAACATAAAGAAAATACAAGAAACATTTAGGTTGCCCACACCTGCCTGGTTATGGAGTTATCTGGTAGCATAGTTTCATTTTTTATTCAGCTAACATCAATAAAAAACTTTGAAGAATAATAAGTTTTAAACCGATGTTATTCGTGCACGATGCTCAAACGTTGTATCGGTATACATATGTATGTACACCAGGGTGATTCAAAAATGCATATGAAAAAGTAAAGTCGAAATTTTTATGCTCTCACCCCCTAGATTGTTCTGTATCGAAAAAAAGTATACCCCTATTTTTTATTTTGAATTCGAAAAATATTTAAAAGTCGCTCAAAGCGCTCAAAGTTTTCCATGTATTTTATATGAGGAAAAACAACTTTTCGTAGAGATGGCATAAAATGGTTAAATAAACAATTGGGTATTATTATTAAAAGTCTCCTGAAGAGAACCAGAATTTTCCGGTCGAAAACTATTGACTTTCAAGAATTCTATACCATTTCTAGGAAAAAATTTATTTTTCCCATATAAAAATACATGGAAAGCTTTGAGCGCTTTGAGCGACATCTAAATATTTTTTGATTTCAAAATAAAACAAGTAATTTTTAGCAAAAAAAAACCGACTTAAAAAATATAAATATATCTATATATTTCATGATTCAATGATCGGATCTAAACCAAATTTGTATGGGACCACCTCTGAGACACTACCTTTCCGATGCAAAATTTGATAAATCCATATGTATGTATGTATATTCGATGAAACTTTTGTCTTTTTAATAATAGACAGTTTTATTGATATGGTTATCGATATAAATACATGTATATCGAAATGCAATTAACATATTGGTTAATGCTGTTAGATATTATTCATATTTATCGAATTCTTATCAACCTTGAATAGTAATATTGATCGTTATTTTTTCGATTGTGCATATTATCGACATGTTTTTCTATAAAATGATCGACATACTTGTAGATATCGATTATTTTGGTTATCGATATAATAGTCGATAGTTTTATCGATATACACATTTATCGAAATCGTAATAGATTTATTTGTACATAATATGTATTTGTTTAATGTTTTCTCATTCATATTGGAAATATGTAGTAACATTGCTTTTCTGCTTTTGCTTTGTACTAAAAACACTGGACCACAAATTTCAACTTTTTCTCTTTACCAGAAACGCCGTTATGAAATTCTTATGTAAAATCACCCCCTGATTCCGAAAATCAAGGTTATTTTTAATTCTATGGTACCGTTTTTGAGATATTTGCAATTTACCGTTTTTGCAAAAAAAAAAAAAATTGGGTCCACTTTATCATATATATCTCAAGAACGAATTAAGCAATTCCAAAACGGTTTGAAGCTTTTAAAAGGTAATAAAATTTTCTATAAACTGTGCATACAACACTTTTTGCTAGGCCCTGTAGATTCAAAGATAACGAACAATCATTACCGATTTTTTCAATTTTTTTTGTAAAAATATAAAAAAAATTGTACTTTGCGGGGAAGGATCTCGAAAACCTTTTATTTTTTTGCAGATTTTTTTTTTCTCCCTAAGCTCTGTTGTATTACAAAAAAAATAAGGTATCATCGAAGAAAATCGATGCAAAACTACGTAAGTTATAAGCGATCAAATAAAAATACCCAGGTTGCGCAATTTCAACGTATACCTCAAAACGTATGTATGGTATAAAGAAGAGTGAAATATCTAGCTATGCTCTGTTTCTATTGAGTTAAAAGTTCAATTTATGAATGAAATTACCCATATTTTTAACTTTTTTTTTAAATTTATTTATGTTTATACTATATTCTAACAATCTTTATCTTAATTTGATTTTACTATGTTGTCGAAATAATTATGTGTTCTACTTTGACGCTTATTCAGTTTAGGATCGGTTTCTCTTATGAGAAACCAGCAGTAATCACCCATCATTGCGACGTCCCAGAATCCTTGATATCGATTCTCAATTAATTTCATTTGCTGATGAAACCTTTCGCCATGTTCATCACTTTCGTCGCCAAGATTTGCCGGAAAAAAGCTCAAATGTGAGTGGAGAAAGTGAATTTTTAAAGACATATTTACGCCCATTTTCGCATAATTATTGATTAGGTCGTTCACTATCTGCTCGTAGTTAGGGCTTTTGTGTCTACCGAGAAAAGAAGCAACGACCTTTTCAAAGGATTCCCACGCTGCTGCCTCAACTGATGAGAGTAGTCCTTTGAATTGATTATTGTTGATCAACTTTCTTATTTGTGGTCCAACAAAAATACCTTCCTTTATCTTGGCTTGAGAAATATCTGGAAAAACTGTTTTCAAATAGTCGAATGCTTCGCCTTCTTTGTCCAAAGCCTTAACAAAGTTTTTAATGAGACCGAGCTTGATGTGTAAGGGTGGAAGTATGATTTTCTCTTTCTTGACAAGAGGGGTGTATTTGATGTTATCCACACCAACGGTAAACTCGACTCTTTCCGGCCAATCCTTTCTGACGTAGTGGTCCTTACGAGCTCGGCTATCCCACTTGCAGAGGAAGCAGCAGTGCTTGGTGTAGCCACTTTGTAGACCGCATAGCATTGCAACGACTTTGAGATCAGAACATATTTTCCAATCATGCTCTTCATATTTGATAAATTTGAGTATTTTTTGCATTTCCTCGTAGGTTTCCTTTGTATTTACTGCATGTGCAATCGGGATAGAAGGCTTTTTGTTACCAATATGCAATAATACAGCCTTCAAACTCAGTTTATTGCCGTCTATGAACAATCGCCACTCTTTTGAATCATATGTTTGACCAAACTCTTTGAATAAACCAGGGATGTCGTTGCAGTAGCATATACTGTCTTTCTTGGTATAGTGTTTGGAAAATGGTTCGTGACGAGTTCTACTATATGTCACCTTAACATCGGATGACACAAATTTAAATTGTTGCATACGAGAAGTGTGGAT